TCCTCAAGGTTCATCCACGTTGCAGTATATGTCAGGATTTCCTTCTTCTTTAAGGATGAATAATAGCACAGTAGGCATATGGCACATTTTGTTTATCCATTCATCCATCCACGGACACGAGTTATTTCCTTTTGGCTACTGTGAATAATGCTGCTATGAACAAATATCCGTTCAAGTCCTCGCTTTTATTTCTTTTGGGTGTATACCCTGAAGTGGAATTGTTGAATCATATAGTAATTCTGTGTTTAATTTTTTGAGGAACTGCCATACCACTTTCCACAGGGGCTGCACCATTTTACATTCCCACCAGCAATGCACATCTTTGTTTCCAGTTTCTGCACATCTTTGCCAATATTTATTTATTCTTTGTTTTTTAAATAATAGCCATTCTAATGGGTGTATCTCATTTGTGGTTTTTATTCGCATTCCACTGGGAGCCTTTCTAAGGTCAGGAAATCCCAGATCCCTCTGTCGCAGGGCAGATGGTCCAGCTGAAAGGAAACTGTCTACAACCTCCTTCTCCCAGGAGCTGAGCAGAGGTTCAGCCACCCCACCCCCATCCCTGTGCTTCTCTCTTAGGTCCCTGGGTACTCTCGAGCCTGCTGAGCTTGGTAGGGATGATCAAGAAGCTGGTGCTTTGAAAACCTAAGGGAGAGCAGGTGAGAGGAGGAAGAACAGACACAAAGAAGTGCTTCTGAGGGGCTGCAATAAGCATGGGCAGGAAGCGCACGCCCCGAGCCTGGAGAGGCATCAGCAGTAACACCCCAGCTCTCCCTCACTGGGTAGAACTTCAACAGTTGAATCTGTCTGTGAAGCTCAGGAAGCCCTGGGAGGACACGAGGGGAGCAGGTAGGGAGGATCCTGCTGTTTTTACAGAGGAAGACTCAGAAATAAAGTAACTTCTATCAAGATCACAGGAAAGGTCAGCCTCAAGGATAAGAGGAAAACCCAAGACCAGGGCACTTACTACTGGGGACAGGCAGAATTATGGGGAGACCAAGGGTGGTGACTTCTGAGAGCAAGTCATAAAACAAAAAAGCAAACAGAGGCCCAGAGAGGGGAACCGACTTGCCCAGAGTCACACAGCAAGTGGGAAGGCAGAGAGAGCCAGAGGTAATAATCATCGTATGGCTTCTCCTGGCCATCTTCTCAGGCTCCCTGCCTGGTGACCTGGCATCCACTCTCTCCAAATATAATGTGACTTCTTTGTGCCCTGTGTTCCCCCTTGGTGACCCTGGCACACATCTTGCTGAAGTCTGGATGTCCTGGGAATGTCACATTCCTCTGGCTTATAGCCTATTGACCCTATCAACCCATGACAACCATTCCCTGCCGATTCCTCTGCCTCACATCCCAGGTTCAGGTCCTGAAGCTCAGACAAAAGCAGCAGCCACATTCCCTGCCTGGGACTCTGCCAGAGAAGGAAATGAGGCTCATCTGGCATGACCGGCTCAGCCAGACAAACCTCATTTCCTTTCTGATGGGGTAAGAAGTTCCAGTGCTAAGAAGAAACCAGCCCCTAGGAATGTCTGAACCCCTACCTACTGGAAGAAACAAGAGGAGGGGAGCCTGGGTGTGCAGCAGAACTTGGTAACATCTAGAATGTGGTCATCTTCTCATTTCCTCACCCTCTTCCCGTACCCTCCCACACAGAGCTTGTCTCTGTCAAGAACAGTGAACACTCCTTGCCTTCGGAGGCACAACTCATATACCTCCAGGGGCACCATCCTCCCTGGGCACCACAGTCCTGCATCCTAAGAACATCTGTAGATCACTGATTTGGCACCCAGTCACACTCTCCCA